AAACAAACAAAATGGTAAAACTGTTTGTGCCAGGACCATTTGTATCTTGACACCTTGGACGACCAGAGCCCGTAAATTTGTACACCAAATAAGTGAATTCAGGCAGCATCGAGATAGAGCTTAAGATATTTGTCATAGTCTGCCGCATCGCACATGAAAATCTAGACAAGACCAACTTTTCACTATGTTTGGTAGTTCCCAAACCCTGCGTCGCGATTTCTGAGATTTTTTTTTTGTGTTTCTGAACCCGGCACCTGCGGCGATGTTCCATTTGGGACACAGAGGTAGATGGAAAAAAAAACACACAGTTGGAGATGTCTTTAACAGATTTTTGAGTCAACGTTTTTGTGTTGTGCGATTTGTTGTGCTGTGTTGTGTTCTTTTATTATTTCTCGGTTGTCTTTTTTTTAGCACACTTCCCAGTGCAACTGGTCTCCCCTTCATTTACATTTGTTTCATCCCATTATCCTGGTTAACCGGCCCGTTCTCAGCACTCCACAGATCCACCGCTTCACCGCTACACCGCTTCACCGTCGTGCCATCTGTCAAGTTTTGCTCCCAACTTTAGCCCGCGGCTTTTTTGTAATTACACAACTGTGGGCGGGAGGGTGAATCGAGAGGGGGAGAGGGCTCTTAGCCGGGTAAATGAAAGCGGCTTAAAAAAGCAGAGCGTTGGGGTTTTGTGGTGCTCGTTAAAATTTGTTGCTCTCATTTCGATTGTTGCTCTGTGGTTGCTGTTGTTGTTGTTGCTGGTGCTGATGTTGCTGCCGTGCTTTCGGTACTGAGATTGTTGTTTGCGCCGCTGTTGCCGATTTTAGTGCGATTCCGTTGCCCTAGCAGGCATAAAAGTTGTCCCGGGATTGAAGGGATTACCGCTTAAATATGCGAACCGTATTGAAAAGCTCGCATGAAGTTGCCCAGCCATGATTCATGATCCCTTCTGGATGGGCACTTTAATGTTCATTCAATTTTCCAGATCCCAACAATTAAGAGTTTTTAATCATCGACTAGTCCGCACCAGCGGAGGCCCAAAAGTGCCCAGCTGGATGGCGGATGGCCTTTGAATGGCTCCATTATGCGGTTGATTTACTACCCAAACAGCTGTGAAATATCATTGCCCACCAGGAAGCCTGATGCCCGATGCCCGATGTCAAACGGAACGGAAATGGGTCAAAGGGATTTGCACATATGCACATGGCTCCCTTTAAAGTTGAATGAAGTCTTGTCACTGGGTTATAACTAGCGATAAGGTTTTAATTCGAAATGATTTAGAAGGGGAAACATTTAAGAAATCTCTTTTAAAAGAGCAAACTTTTATATTTAGGTAGCACTTAATTTATCACTGTCTAAATAATTATAATCTTTATAATTAAAACCAACAGTTGTCAATTGTCTTTTTTTAAAAATGTGAAAGCAAATAATAATAAATACATTTAATTTTGTTATTTCCTTTAAATAAGGATTCCATTTGAAAAATGTTTGGATTCCACATTAAAACATTTCAATTTGTTTCAAAAATTTTTATTTATATGGTTCCAACCATTTCGTCTTACCTGCTAATTTTTTTTTACGAATGAAATATGCCCATTTATATACTTAATTTCTATAATAAGATGTCATACTGAAGTAAGAATATATATTTTTTGGGTTCTTATAATTCTCGCCCCTTTCCTTTCCTTAAATCGCAACTATCTCATTTTCAACTATTTAAAGATTTCCAAGTCGCCGAGTAATGACTGCATTTATTATCCATTTACTGTAGGGAGTTAGTGTCTTGATCCCTGGCTTATCTTTGCTTGAGCGCAGCAGCAGCAGAAGCTTGTTTACACCCATATTTATCAATGCTGTCCGCAATAAGACTTCGACAGAGCCACGAAATGCCCCTTCTACGCTAAAAGTTTTGAGCAACTCGGCTAGATAAATCAACTGGCATTAAGGGCAGGGGTCTGGCGATGCTGCTGCGGCAAGATAAATAAATTAACTCGTTCAAGTTGGCTGACAGACGGACTTAGTGCCATCATGAAGGGACAGGGCCATCATTCCCTCGTCTTGCCTTGCGAACAAACAAGTCGTTAAAAACGCGTGAGTCCTGGCTAATTTATGGCTAATTAAGTTGACGCAACTTTTACGCTGGTTTAGAAGAAGGAGGGGAATCCCCACCATAAGCAACATATGCCACGTGCTTTCAAGGCAGTTATGTCATTTTTGTTTGAAAAGCGGTTTGGGCTGTATATGCATGCTCCAATTTTTCCACCATATACTCCTACACTTGGCAAAACAGAGAGCACTTCCAGCACTCGACCGGCTCGTGAATATCTCGTTAATTAAGCACTCTGTTATGAGCAGCTCACCATCGTAATACATTTTTACGATCGCAAATGGAATTATAACTGCTGGCCACTCCCTTTTATTTTCATCTCATTCCGTTTACAAGCAGCTGAATTACACTGAGGGGAACATTAAATAGTACATTGAAGTATCAAATTTGTGACTCTTACAGGAACAATTCAACTTAGGTAGTAGTAAGCAAATAGTAAGGTAAATGGTTAAGAAACTGTTGTACTTTTATAAATCTGAAACTAATTGATTTAATAAAATTAAAAAAAATATTTACTTAGGAAAATTAAATCCATAACCTTTTTGTTCTCTGTATTTACACACAATGCCATTACTGGGGCATAGGTTATGGTCGGGTGGGTCAGTCGGAGCCCAGAAGACAGACTCTGGGAGTCCGGGGTGGATTGTAGAGGAACCTCCACAACATACAGAGGTCGTAGGTACGGCGTAACATAACTGAGCACCCAACCCTCCTGACGGGGTAATTTCGTAGACAAACATCATTGGCATTTCTGTTTGAAGGCTCTGAGTGCCAATTAACTGAACGTGGCTGCTCCACCTGAACCGGACGGATGGGTGGCTGGATGAGAGTACTCGACCCCGGACTGTACAGGAACCTGCACATATATCGTAGATATCGATCAGAGCCGGAATACACGATGCTAATGGGTGTTAATCTAATTGCTGTTTGAAAAGTGTATAAATTTGTAGCCTGTCATTAAGGCAACATGAATAATAATGCTAATACTGATTTCTGATTTAATTACTTATTATTATATTTAAATATAACCATGGTATTAAAGCAACTTTTAAACAATGTACATTTTCCGATTTCTATAATAAAGTGTACTAAATATCTTAGTTATGTGATTATGTGACTACCATTTGACTTTTCGATTGAAAGTATCTTTCAACTCATATTGAAATCACATTCCAATTCCCTTATATTTAATTATGGTCAAATAATTTAGATATTATCTCAAAACTTATAGTAATAACAGCCAACAGCTTTATTTTGCACTTCTGTTTTTGCTAGTTGACTTTGGTTAGCCGTCGACGGTGACTTGGCAAACTTGGTCATCAACACGTAGTCGTATTTGGGATACTTTAACCACACACAACTCATCAAGGACCCCAGCAGTGTCGGCTGGCCACGTGCCGAAAAGCCGCCAGTTCCGCCCACTGGGGGGTGCGACTGGAACTGAGCTTTTAAATTAAATCACAAAATGAGGATAGAGCGACTAAGGCAACCGAGGCAGCCGCTAAGCCAAATAAATAAACCCTTTGGCCGCAGTCCTCGGTGTCCTTGCTCCTTGAAGGCGCGTCCTCCCTTCAAGAGATAACAGTAAGGACATGAAGTCAACTTGCCAACGGAAGGGAAAGAAGTGTACAGTGGAAAAAGTGGCTGATTAAGTGGCAAATAAATACAATTAAAAGATTTTCTTTAGTGTTAATTAATTACATTTATCAAATGTTGGCCACTCATTTTTCCGTATTATGTAGAAATTTAATTTACTTTACTTAATTTTTTTACTTACAGACATTTTGACTTTTGATCTTTTATTCTTTAAAGTTAAACGATTTTAAAGGCATTTAATTTTGATGAACTATTCTTTTTAAGCCGTATTTTTCCTTTACCTTTTCTGAAAATAATAAGGTATTGGCAACTAAAACTCTTATTTCTTCCACTGTAAAAGATGACTTCTCTTAGTGCTTGGCAATTCGGTCGCCAAAAGGACACACGGAGACCGAAAGGGATAATGGCATAAAATCCAACAAAATGAAAAGAAAGCGGCAAATCATGTTAAGAGATTTAAATTGGATTAGTTGACATGTGTGTGAGTGGATGACTATCCTCGGTGGTGTCAACTGGCGCTGGCCGTGAAGCCATCTTTTCGCCCCTGGATGTGGATGTGGATGTGGATGCGGGATCTTCTGGCACGGCCGCCACTCGCTCATCTTGACATCAATTTTGTCACTTGATTTCCCTTTCTTTTTGCATTTTTTCATGGCGGGCCTGTGCTTTTATTTATTTTGTATGCTTGACACAATTCCTCGACGAGGGCTTACGGCTCGAGTGTCTCTACGGTCCTCGATGCCATTCACTCGCCCCGAATCTGCTCTTTCGCAGTCCCCGGCAAAGGTTCCGCCCAGGTTCTGCATTTGACAACCATCAAGCCCCCCCCGATTCGGGCGGAGGTCACCTTCCATCATCGTCCATCGTCGCAAAAAGGGGACACCCGTTTGACACCCGGAGACATGACGTCAGGTTCAGCGGGCAACGACTCCCAATAAATGTATGTGTCACTTTAAGAAAACCTATAGTCTATAGACTATCAGAATGATTTATTACAAAGACCAACTTCCACTTACGTAGGCTAACAATCATTTAAATAATTGCTGATCAAGAAAATTGATAAGAAAAATCATTGGTCTTGTGTATTATCCATAAACAGATTGTAGCGCGATGACCTTTTTTTAATTTTGGTTTTTTATGGAATATACATACTTATCTATGAAAATTGTTTGTACAGCTTAGAACTTTATCAAATACAATTTTATTTAACATGGGCCGCTGAATTTCATGTGTTATAAATCATTAAACATTCTAAATCTTATGAAACATTTCATTATTTATTTTTATTATGAAAAACGAAAGATGATGCATGTCAATATTATTTATTGTCATAAAAATAGAAATCCATAGAAATCACTACAATTTTAAAATCTTTTTAAAAGGTGCACAAAAAATATGCTGTAAAAATGAACTGTGATTTCTATATTATATTTCAAGTAAGAGTACACATCTGTTTAGCTTGATTTTAGACCCCAGTGATTTAGGTGCACCTAATATACATATATTAGTGGTTGTGTTTATAGTTTTAAAATGTTGTTTTTACTTACTTTACTTAAAAATAGTAGACAAAAATTTATTTATCTAAAAATTAATCATTCTTGGGCTCCTGTTTTTTCCGGTACTTCACTTGGGACGTGTAAATGTCGTATCCCAAACTTATGGTGTTATCGTAGAATACCCTGTACTGCGGCTTGATCAGCAGAAAGTTGATGAACTGCGCCAATGGCCACACCGTCCACTCGGCCGCGTAGAGGATCAGGGCCTTCTCCCTGATCTCCTCCTGCAGCTCCTCCCACGAGTTGTGCTCCAGAGCAGCCATGGTGAGGAAGAACACCGCGATGTAAAAGGGCGAGCAGATGAACTGGTCCAGCAGGATCTTAACTATCACCACCTTGAAGTTGCGCTTTGGAAACAAGTAGTCCAGGTATTGGTACCAGTAGTGGCACACCACGCCCACCGTCAGCCCGGAAATGCCCATCCGCACAGTGCGTATCCGGTTCCATGCCGGAAGTTCACCGATCACCCGCTCGTAGGTCTGCTCCATGGTGTCGCCCACCATGCTCAGGCCCACGGAGATGCCGATATTGGTGTACAGCAGGTACTTCGGACTGAAGGCCGCCTGGTGAAACCGGTCCAGGACGTGCTTCACCCGCTTCCAAGCCACTCGTCCGGCCATCTAGGCTCCCCAGTTGTTAGTCATAAGCTGGCGCCGCCAGCCCGACGGTGCGACACAATAAATGCTAATGTCACTTATTCCATGACATCCTCTAAGAGAGCTTGTGCTTAGTGGCCTTAACTATGACAGCTATTCAAGTTATTTACCCATGCAGCTAATACAATTAACTGTATTTTGATTTTTATGCGTATATCTTTAAAAAACAATAAAGCTTCATAAGTCGATCTTCCGCAGAATTTTTCGATTGTTTCTATAGCAGCTTTATGAACAATTTTAATAAAATAATAACCTAATTTTGACATCCTCTAATAGAGCATGTGGTTAGTGGTCTAAACTTTGACAGCTATTCAATAAAATATGAATCGCTAAACGCTTTACATAAACAAGAAAATTTATACTCTTGCAGCTATTATTTGTATGAGTATATTTTTGAAGCTATGCCAATTTTCCGCATAATTTTTTGATTGCTTGTATGGCAGATTTATGAACAATTAAAAAAAAATGTAAACCGTAATTTTGACTTTCGTTAAGAGAAATGGTGCTTAGTGGTCTCAACTATTCAATAATATATAAATCTCTAAGTGCTTTAGATTAACAAGAACGTTTTTATACCCATGCAGCTTTTATAAACGACTTATTTATTATTTCGATTTTTATGTTTAAAAACAATAAAACTATGACGATTTTCCTCAAAATTTTTGGATTGTTCCTATGGTACCATAGGATTAAAACCGTTATTTTGTAATATTAAACCTTTACTATAACTTAAAATTTGTTTAAATAAAATGACAAACAGTGAAGTTATTATTTTATATCATTTGTTTTTATGTAGTGATCATATAGTTTTCCAAATATAATTTTTACATTTTTATTTTATTTTTATAATATTATTTTAACATAATACTTTGCGAAGCGTGTCTGAAATTATACGCCAATTTTATGTTTGATAACTTATTGATTATCAAAATGAATTTTAATCGAGTGTCATGTTTTATGTTTTTTAAAGCTCACTCCAAATTTCAATCAAAATTTTATTCCAATTGCCGCAAGAATGCCCATAGTTATTTGTTAAAGATAAAGGCAAAACCACAGCTAGAAAATGTTCCATTATAATGAAAGGATACGAAAGGGATATAGGGAGTTTGGCATTTAGCTCCAAAACAAAGCAAAAACAGGCAATGAATTCAATTTGACGCCGCCAGCAACACGAAATGAGTTTTCGGAGGATTTGTTGAGGTAGCCTAAGCAGGCTCCAACTTATGTCGAACGCCTTGGGGCAAGGACTCCATCCGCCGTTGAAAGGATCAAAAAGGGTTCGCCACCCACACGCACCAAAACAGAATAAGAAATCGCTTCGCTCGGCATTCAAATGAGGCTTTCTTCCCGCTCGATAATCCCCATCCCCCACATGTTGCTCCCGACCCCTTCCGCATTTTCCGGCTTCCAGGGGATGAGTTTTTGGGGTTCAGCCGGGTGTCGGGGAGTTAATGCTGCCAAATCATTCGCACGCGATTCCCAACCGCACAGCCACAACACCATTTGCGCCCCCTTGGGGAAATCATATGTGCGGGTGTACAGCCCAATTCTCACTCCTCTGTCCAGGGGCCAGTGAATTGAAAAATATTTACGGCCTTCTACAATCTACGCTAAAATCCAATTTTATTTTTATATTTCGTCGAAATCCGCCATAAAACCGGGCTCCACCAACGCCCATTTCCCGGTTTTCAGTTCCCCCTTCCGGTTGTCAATTCAAAAGCGGCATCCGTAAATTTGGCTTTGCAGTTTGTTTGGCCTGGGAACAAACCGCCCCTCAATATCAACTGATTCAGACAGCAATGGGAGGTCGGGGTGTCGGCATTTGTTTCATTAACGCCGCAATATTCCGATGTATTTACTGTTCTCCTCAATTTCGCTGCGTGCCATGCATTGTTTGCAGGCGTTAAATATTCCAATTCGAGAAAATATCAGACAGCATGAAATCCAAAAGAGTAAACGTAAATATGAAAATAAAAATATGCAAATGTTTGTAAAGTTTTCATTGAAACACTCCATGTTCTTCGAAATAAATATTGTTTTTGTTATATTATATAGAAATATAAGACTGTTTAACTAAACTATATTAACACAGCATAAAGTATTGTCAATCAATCTTTCAGATTTTTATAAAGTAATACTTTTATTTATTTAATATAATTATATTTATAAGTAGTGGTTAATCAAGACTTAAATCTTGTAAAGTTTTCATTGAAATACTCCTTGTTCCTAATAATGCATATTGTTTTGGCTATATATCATTACATTTTAGCCCACCTTGATTATTTTAAAAAATCCGTTGTACCATAAACTGTTTTCTTAGTATATTTTTGGTGTACTTCATTTAAAGCGCTTCTTGTTATTTGCTTAGAAAATTCTTTAAGTATACTTTTGTAGTCTTCCATTTCAGACCCTAAAAAAAAATACCAAAATTTGTTACCTTAAAAAGGTCGACAACAATAAATGCTGATTCGGTAAGTCCCAGCGCAAAATCTCCGTAACAAAAGCCTTCTAGGTCTAATTCTTTGTGAAATGAAATGTGTTTACAGCACTGGGTTATTTACATACTAGCACTGCCCTTTGGAGCACCGTAGAGATATGGAGATACTATATTGTGTCGCCTGTCCCGAGGACCATGGATACATGAGTACGTCTGGCTGGATGGTCGCCAGGTTTCTGGAGCGTGGCGGAAAACTGTCCGAAAAAAGGAGTAAGGAAAAGTGAAAGCGGCCATGCCGGGCGAATGCATTCTCATAGTTTTTCCCACTTTGTTATGCTGATTTTTCACATTTTCGTTTCCTTTCGGTTTTTGTTGCCAGCCAGCCTTGTTCGTTCCGCTCTCAATTTTTTCCCTGGCACGGGATGTTGCCGGGTTTTAGCTTTGGCCCATCGAGTTGTGGGGCTCGGAGGAGCATGTGTGCATTTTAATTGAATTTTTCATTTCGCTCAATAAAAGCAAAAGCCGAATATGCGAGCAGCGAGCCGCAAAAAGTGTCACAATCCACCCCTCGTGTCCTTGGACCCTTTAAATTCAATGGACGGAGTTGGATAGGGACCGGACCCCGGACAAAAGTCCAGCGATTTGGTTGATTTACTCGACTACGGCTAAGCAATTCGCTTAATATATATTGCAAATCACTCTCTAATTGATTTCAAATCGATATTGAATGGCGCTTTAGTTCATGTTTAGACTGCCGTTCAGCTTCATTTTCCACTGGCTGCCTCGCCTTCAATTTATGCAAATTAAATCGAAATGTGATTTTAATGGTATTTCGGGACGGCCAGACTCAAATGATGATGAGCGTATATTTGCACAAAAGTGGAAGTCAAAAAGTTTAGGCAGCTCTGTGTGCAGAAATCCGTGCAACGGGGAATACGCTCCACCGAGTGAAAGGAAGCCAACTATAACCGCATGTTCCGTTCCGGAAAACTAACTTATTCAATTAGTGGATGGGAAACTTTGGTTGTTTACACTACACTCAGAATAAAGGACATTCGGTTAATGTATTCCCAAAAATATTATTACCAAATTGCATCTACGACATTTTATTAATCGCAGAAAGTGTATCTGTACTTAAGGGTTCAAAAATAATATATTGACAATAAGATAAATGATGAAAGTTGTTTTCAAATTTCATAAGTTAAATTCATACGTATTTCCTAAAGGCTAAAAAATTTGTATATAAGATTTATTTTACAAGTTAGCCCAAATTTTAATTAAAGTGTGTGTAACTAAAAATTAGTTTTTCTTGAATCCAAGTTTCGACGAAAACTGAATACATTTGATTTTGATATTGCTTAAATAGTGGTTTCTTTTAAAAGAGATTTTCTTGTATAAAATAAATAAGACTTTCATTGAATGAACTTTTTTAAGTTTCACAGAACACATTTATTCAGCCTGTGTTATTCCTCAGACACATCATCGATTATGGAAAAAATAAAGCATTACACCCAATTAATCAAATTTTTTCATATGGACGCAATAAATCTGGTTTTAAATATACATTTTTTTTCCTTTAGCAGACATTTCCGCTAGTGAACATGAAAAACTTCAACATTTTTTGCGTCAATTAAATCAAATTAAAGGGAAAAACAACTGGCGCACATTGGCTCAGATTGATATACGGTAATCATTATTTAAATGATATAACTAAGCCAAGAATTAAAATATACATTTTTTGGAATGAATTATCTTTCAGTTTAGTTAAATAGTTGTTTCTAACTGGCAAGAAAAACGGAATTTCAGAGAAGCTCAGGTAATGCCAAGGGTCAATTGACTTGACTGGTGCAATCAACCGGTCGTGGGTAAAGAAACTGCCGGCATATTTGAATCGCACCGCCGAGGAAAATAAGTCAGCTCACCGTTAACGTAAACGAGCAAATAGCCAAACAGTCAACACGGCGGCCTCGCCACCCGCACATCGTGCCAATTTCGTTAAAGCAAACGAAAACAAACAACACGCCACTACCCAAAAACCCACACCCTCACACCCCACACCCCACACACCAAACCCAACACCCAAAGCAAATAGAGCCACCCCCTTTTGGCAAAGGCTGTCTGGACGTTACGATGCACAAAAACAAAAGAGCAACAAGGTGGAGAGCAGGCAGGGAATGACAGGTGTCCTGGTTCGCGGCACAGGTGCACTTCGGAATACATTTCACCAGTAGTTTACTTTTGAGAGAAAACGCAAACATTTAACATTAAGTTAAACTGCTGTTTCGGAAACATTTATTATCTCAATACTGTGCTAAATACCGTACCCATTCGTGTGATGCCACCCTGTAAGCCTTAGTCGATAGAAAAATTAGCATCCCATTAAGAAACCGAATTTGTGTTTCCAAAAAAGCTGTCTTCATAACTTTCTCTTTCCGATCCCAAGCTAAAACCTTTAAGATATTTAAACAGCAAAAACCAACATGATTTTAAATTTTAAGATCTATGAATACTTTATTTGTTTTAAATTCGAATTTCGAATTCGATTTAATTGTTTTTAAGTCCGTTTTTTTATAATAAAGAACAGCCCAGTTAACAAAATCTATAATATTAATTTGTATAATATTATTTTCTTATTTTCTTAAAACCAGTATTTCAAGTATACATTTTAGTTGTTGACTTTGAGTGCGGATGATTTTTTTAAGTGTGGGTACCTTATTATCGGAGGGAGAACACAGCTGTTTATGTGGCGCGAAAATGTCATACATCATGCGACACGCGATGTCAGGTTGCGAGGACATGGGAACCAGGACCCTGGTCGTCTGTCTGTCCGTCCGTCCGTCTGTCCGTCCATTCATGGCGCGGAACGAGATGAAATTGGCTTGGCTTGGTTTGCAAAACGAAGCAGCATGCAGAAAACAACGTCGCGGGTTTGTAACTGAGAAGGATTCGCTAACGCCAAAAACGAAAAATGAGTGCTGCAAGGGATGGGGCTCTGCGGCAGATAGACTGCATCATCACCTGCCTCGCCACCCGCATCCTCTCCTCATCACCACCTTGTGCAGTACTTTACCATCATTATCAGCAGCATGAACAGAAGAAGGAGTAGGAGGAGGCAACTCCTGGCTGGCGACTTCTAGCCAGGATAGGCATTCACGCCCAGCTAAGTGGCACACGAAGCGTTAAACTATTAAGCACATGTTGCCACTCGGCGGGTGATTCAAGTTGGGGGAAACGGAGGAGCATCGTCACGCACAGGGAGTGCTCAAACTCCAACTCCAACCGCTTTTGTTATGCGGCTCAAGATAAATCATGCACATAAGTCCTGGGCGATGTCTCCGTGCCGTGAGATTACTACATAAATTCTGCTTGCCATCACATCTAAAAAATTCATTTTGTCACAGCTTCAGGGGCTGTCCAACTGACGAGTTAGAGGGTCGCAATTTCGCTCTGCAGGTGGCAGAAGTTGTCACGAGTTTTCGTTAACAATAATGTATTATTGTATTATACAATGAAAATATAAAAGCATTTCTAGTTCTTCCAGTATTTTAAGAAATATGATAAAAAGTAAAATATTAATGAAAGTTGTTTTTTAATGTACTTAAACGCAGTAATTTAGATTTGGAGATGAATACCTTTAAAAATAACTACAAAGAAAATATTCCTATATATGTATAAATTTGGTATTACAACATATATGTTCGACCTTTAGGCTGTCGGATTTCAAATATTCCATCTCAATTTAAAATTTAAAAGGCAAACTCATATTAAATGAATCTTTCATCTACACACACCTACACATTGGCTCTTTGCAAGGAGTGTAACTGCTGGTAAACTAAAGTGCTTAAAGCCAGAAAAATAACGGGCAAATTAGAAACACACACAGAACTCTCTGTCCCACTCGCTATCTAGCTGAATAACATTTCAAAGGCACTGTAAAGGATATCACGGAACTGCGGGAGGTGGGGCACTCTAATTAGAATAATTTTGCGCTGCGTTGCGCTTGACAGCGTTGCAGAGGTGGCGCCATCTGGCGGACGACGGCAGGAGAAATGTGATGCCTGCAGGACCTTCACATACACAAACAAACACACACATACACTAATGCAGGCCAAGTCGAAAAGCAAACATATGCACTGACCAAACTTTTGTTTAAGTTTTAAACTATATTTCTTTGGTAATCATAAAATCGTTTAATAAGGATTGCTCTAAGTTGTATGAATTCTGTTGCAAGTATATAATTATTTTGATATTACTAAAAACGGTTCTTACGGAGACAACAATTTTTAAGCATATACAAAATTTAAAAAAATGTATTATTTGAAATTAATAGTTACGGTCTTTATTATAATCGAATTTAGGTTTAAAAAAAAAAAATTTATAAAATATATATCTTTAATTAAGAAACAAATCTAGTTAATTTCAATGAAAACATGTTTTTAAAAATTTTTGAAATTAGGGTCATTACTTATTGAGTAACGTAACGCACCGACTTGAAAAAACGTAGTTTTGAAAAAAAGGCGTTAAAAGTTTTTTACATACCACATACCTGCCTTGAGCACGAGTACGAGATAATCGGTATTTCAGCAAGTTTTAGTCTGTTCGATCAGAAATTTTCACAATATATTTCTGAATTGTTGTACTTCTATATACAAAATTATAGAATTTTTTTTTTTGAAATTGCAAACCATTCTGTTCTATTTAAAATGCAATATTTTCGGCAGTGCGAAAGAGGCATGTGGACCAAGTCTGCATAGCCGAGCATGACGGTTAAATTGCAGGACGAAAGGTCACCGAACCCAGGTGCGGAGAGCCTGAGGGGAGACACAGCATAATAATCATGATAAAAGCATCAGCCACACACATACGTCGTACGTACTGAGTGCAGCCGTTGGAGGCGGTGATGTCAACGGGGAGTGCCTTAAATTACAGAATTTAATTAATTTTGCAGAGATTTTTCATCGGTCGCCGCGCACTTGACTTTGTGCCTTTGACTTCTCTCCAGTGCTCCTTTTGCCTGCCACTAATTTTTCCATCATCTGCGGTTGAGTCGTTTTCATGGGAATCAGGCAGGACTTGAGTTCGCCACATGTGCAGGCTTCGCGGAGCTTCATTTATATTTCCATTTCCATTTTCCACAAGCACTCCCGTTTTAATTTTAATTAATTTCAATGTGTATGTGGCAGCTGTGACTGTCGCTCGCCAAGAGTCATGGTACGGGTTCCCCGAGGCAGTCGAGCAGTAGCCGAAATGATTATGAGTAATTAGTTTTAATGGGCTCGGAGCATGTCCTGGCAGAGCTGCAGAATGTCACACCTGGGCCACCTAGGTTACTACGTTACATTCGGCCAGGTGGCCTGCATCTCGTCCTCGAGAGATGGAAGTTAACTCGAGAGCCTGGGTTACCATGAGCTAAATATTTAAGTTGGTTTTAGAAATTTCAATATAATGTAACCTTTATACCAGTATATGTTCTGGTTGGCTAACCACCCAAATTAATGGCACTTCAACTAGATACTGTTGATGGAGCAGGTACTATGGGAATATTAAATTAAGCTTTAATGCCACTCATGTATTTCACACTCCAGAACCAAGAAATATCTATGTCCGAAAAGTAGAAATCATAAACTATTCAAATTAGCTGCATAACAAAAATAAAAACACTTACTTTTCTAAACTTTTCAGTTTTTTGCATAAATAAATCAATAAAGATATAATTAGTTTAAGTTCTTGACGCTGCCTAAATATGAAACAACGCACAAAACCAATTATAAAAAAGGAAAAAAAATCATACCGTAATTAATGACCATTCTAGTAAAAATATATGGTATAGTACAATTGTTATTGAATATTAAATCAACTAAAAATTGCACATAATTTAAAAATATTTGCAGTTTCAGACACACTAATTAATATTAAACAAATGCTTATTTATGACTGCCCCGAGGCATAGCTTAAACAAATATAACAATAATTGCATTTGCTTACCATTAATGGTAAATTTAATTAGATTCAGAGGAGATATAAAAAAACATATCATAAACCACATATAATCAGCTTTGTCCATGAGTTCCGATCTGTATCAATTCGACTAAAGCTGGATTTGCGAAAACAAAGTCATAAATCAAAACCAATTTGTGCCACAATTTAGCTGACATTTCGCTGTTTTTGCGCTGTGATCGGTTTTGCAAATAGATAAGTGTCAACAAAATATCTACAAGGATGCCAGAAGCTTCAGCCAAAAATGAAACAAAATCCTGCCAAGTGACTGAGAAAAAAACGAATCACGGGAATCAAAGCTTTGAACATTGAGCAGAAAGTCAATTTGGAGCACATACAAGCATGCGAGTATATAAAGTACTGGAAAAACGAGAAAACGGGGAAAATTCAAGAGAACGCTGGGGAAACTTTGGTGGAACCAGTACAATACAAAATTTAATGGTGCGCAAATTTTGATTGTTTTACTTTGAGAATGGAAGTTTCCTTCCTCCCTTTTTGTTCTCAGGTTTTTCTTTTTTTTTTTATGTTCCATTTTGTTTGCATTCGCTTTGTATTTATTTCGCAAAGCTTTGAATTCATTTTCCCGCATTTTATGCATATTTCAGATTCAAATATTTTTCCTGCGCTATTTGCTTTGACTCGTCCCTGGCGTATTTGTTTAGCTGCGGGCACTCATCTATATACATTTAGAATCCTCATCTCACCCAGAAAAGCAAGTCGAGACTGGGCAATGTTTTGTTTTGGCCTTCAGGTGCTTTTGTTTCCATTCGCATTTCGTCCGTCAAAATGCCGTCGGAAAATTGTTGTCAACGTAATTTGATTCCCACTCCACGGCGGACTGTTCCACATGCTGGCTTCCTTTTCCCGTCTCTATGATTACGTATACGCTCCGTTGGGCAAAAAGCAAATTGTAATTAGTCGCTGGGGCCGAAGTGCCTCATGCGTGCGGACAATAATAAACGAAAGTTTCTCCCAGAATCCTTTTGTATCTTGTTATGTTCAACTGATGGCAGCAGAAGACTGACCTGAAACTAATGAAAAGTTACGATAACAGTGAGAAACGAGACCATAAAATGACGGCTGTTCTCTCTGTTTTCACTTTAAAGTTCGTAATTCACAAACAAGAAGAAAAAATTAACTTTGTGCTTATTGAAACACAATGAAAAATATAATTGATTGAACAACCCAATAGATAATATTTTCACATTTGTTTTATTTTAAATAAAATGATTTTAAGATTTAATAGTTCTTTTTTTTATGATTTAAAGATTATATAACAATTATTTCTAGGTCAAATAAAACTGAAATTCCTTCACATTGATTCAACACTCAATAAGCTGTAAGTCATTTGTGTTAAAAATTTCAGTCAATTTTTATACATTTTGTTTTGTTTTTCAACAGATACCTAGCTTGGACAATGTTGCACAGCCAAGTGGATGCATCAAATGCAGATGGGCAAAGTGAGGAAATTGCAGTCGAGAACTCACAATTGGACATCAAAGTCAATTGTTCTGTGCTGAACCCTCAGCCATCCGAAGGTAATACACCTTTGCCCAATCTCCAGGCATCGGACTTAGTTCAACAAGTAGAAACCACCCAGGATGAGACCTTTGAAGTGGTCTGCAACCTTCCCAGCTTACCGATTGATGCACTTCTCTCACCTTTCAATATCATCGATCGGTTGCGAAAGAATATTGAGGTGAGGGAACTTTTACCTTTTCAGTGTGGAATAGGGGAACTTTCTTTGTTTGGCAAAGCAGAGCCATCTTTTTGGTCAAAGTGTGAGAGTTCCGAAGAAAGCCGAAACAAAATGCCGTACTTTATACCGGAACTAGAAATGGCCTGTGCCGACTCAAAAGTTGAGCAAATAGAAAAGGTAGCTGAGAATGAGGATACAACTAAACTGAAGATCGAACTACCAAAAATACAACAAGTCAAAGAACCTAATTTAGTAGTGATGAACGAATCGAATTTGGCTCCGATAGAAGAACAGAATACCACGAAGTTAGACGAATTCAATTTACTTGAGAAAAAAGAGATAGGATTGCCCAGTAATGAAGAATCTGTTTTGCCAGAAATTAAAGAAATAAGAGAATCCAAAAGTGAACAATCAGATTCCCAAGATCCCCAAGGACAACAACTAAAATTACCTGGCAGCGTAGCCACTAGAACTCTACAGATCGAAGAATTGATTGCTCCATTAGTGGAAAAAGCAAAGCCAGGACCTAAATTTGGTATTATAAGTTCCCTGGTAGGAATCAAGGCAACTTGGACACCTAATGTCAGGCTTTCTTTTGGGGATAGACAAATAAGGTGGACGAAAACCCGCCCCAAGGAAATTATTCAACAGGAAGCCTCCAGATCACTTAAGGCACTTATCTTGAGCTTGAATATGCTCAAAAGGTTAGAGTCATCTTTTAATGGTAAGTAGTCAGTATATACAAATTTCGTTGCATTAAACAAAGCTTTATTTTTAGACAATTCTCATAAGAACAGATTGAATCGATTTGAAAGAATTAGGAGCTCATTAAACTTTTCAAGAGTGTTTAGGCAGAATATATTTCAACTGACTCCAGCTGCAGAGAGCAGCCGAAAAGAAGTTCAAGAAAATTCGATGGGCTGCGGAGAACCCATGATGAGAGGTCCGAGTAAGGAACCATCACTCCCCATAATGTACAGAATTGATGCCAGTGAAGGACTGACTTGCAATGGCTTGAATGTAAGCAAGGATTCAGTTTTTAGTGAGGTATCCGAAAGCGATGATTCGGAAGTCCAAAATAAGTCATCTCAAGAAGTAATTGGATTACCAAAAACTATAGCCAATATAGCGGACACTCAACAGAATGGAAGGATACTGTTTAGCCAACCTGTAAGGCTTTTCTGTTTCAATAAACTGAAGGAGTGGAAACGGCAAGGTAAAGTACCAGGTTCCGTTGCAAACCCTTACCGTTCCCCCTCCTTCTCAGGCGAGGGTCAAATCGAAATCTGGGAGCTCCACGGATTCTACTACATAATACTACATGACCGAATCACTGGAGAACTCATCATCCACATGCGGGTGGACAAAAAGTGGCGCATCGACTACATGTCCAATAGTTCGTACAGCTGCCGCTGGACCAATATCAACTACGCCTCCTGCCGCAAGGGAACCCTGGAGAGGATCGCCTGCTCCTTCCGGGAGCCCAGCCACGCCGCCGAGTTCGTCGCCAGGGTCCGGAACAGTGCGCTCCTATCTCGCTTCGCATAGTGTGTTGAATGTCACATTTTGGTTTTCCAGCATTCTAGTTGATTTCCCAGTGAAATCCTTGGTGTTTCTTGCGTTTGGGGGCATGCTTCAAGCTGATGATAAATTATTGTGGTATCTTTAAATATATTTTGTAAATATTGCTGTTCAAGTATTTAAAATTATAGCGAAATAACCTGGGGTGTTAATTTTTTGAAACATTTTTAAAAGCATCGAATTTATTTTGAAAAAAAAATATTATTTTATTCCTAGTAAATTTTTATTATTTTTATTAAAAAAAAATCTTGTTTTTTTTTTAGCTTTTACATTTTTTTTTTAAATTATTTCCCAAAATGAACATTGCAATCGATAGGTCTTGGGTTCAAAAAATGTGATATTCCAAGAAATAAAATATTTTTCAATTATTTTGATAATTTAATAGAATGCAACAATATTTTCTAGTTATTTAGTATTCTTAAATTCGATCATTGATGTGTTTGAATATTTTGTATAATTATAATTTATTAAGTTAAGGTACTGTCTACAGTCGCTAGCAACCAGCAGTGCCCAATGTTAACTTAATTGTTGCCACAACAACAGTAGTATCGATTTAACAAACAGTTCAGAGGGCATATTTGTTGATAACCAATTCGAAAAGGGTAAACCAGACACATGAAGCCATGGAGTCGGACAAGTTGAACGAATTAAATCGACAAATCAATGAGATTAAGAAGCGCATTTTATTGGCAGGTGTGTGAGCTAGCATTTTCAACATGTAAAGCAATACTAATAAATAGAGTCCTTACAGATGGCCAAAAGACGGCTAATGCGGCCGAGTGGCAGAAACAGAACCGCATCAACTGCGACACCATTAGCTCTTTGAAAAAGGACATCAAGGAGCTGACGGTGAAGGCGAGTCGACTGCGAAATCCCCTCCAACGACCAGTGGTCATCAAGGAGCACACTGGGGAATCCCGGAGGGCTCAGAGCTGCACGCCCACTTTAATTGTGGGCAAGGCCACGTATCCTGTGGGGGCTAAAAACGCCGACGATGCCATTTTCCTCACTGATCTCAAGATTACCGAGAGTCGCAAGCAGATGGATCTTCTGCGGCATCGCTTCAAATCCCGCCAGCAGCACTTCAGTAAACTGGTGGAGAAGTATCGTGGTCTGCTGTCCAACAAGGAGGCACAGAACCAAAACTTGGGTGAAAAGCCCCCAGAAACCCTCGAGGAGGATGCCAATAGGAAGGTAAGAAAATTACGACTTGAATTATTGAGGGAAATAGTAAATAAAATTCAAATATAGATTTCTTTGTCTGTTTTTATGATTAAATTTAATGGCAGTCTTGTCTTAATGCAGATTAATATTTTTTTTAACATTTGTTGGAAAAAGAAATTGCATTTAAATTTTAAGAAGATTTTATGTTCATTCTGTGTTTAAATATAAATACCAAAATATTTTACAATGTAAAAAAGAAAAGTTGAAAGCGCTTTTTTATAAGAATTAAACTATAATTAAAAGTTATTTTAAAATTCAAATATTTTTATTTTAGTTAGTCTTTTTAGATTTGCTTTAAATTGAAAATTGTTTATAAATTTAAAAATTAATTTTTATCTAAAGAGGGAATATGCTTAATTATTAAAAATATAAAGTATCTTCAAATTCAAATGAGTTGCTTGATAACTGATTCGAAAATGACCCCACAGCTCGTTTGCCATCTGGAGAACGAGATCCACCGCACCAATGTGCAGTGGATGGAGGCGGAGCACATCCGCAAGAAGTATCGCTCCATTGAGGCGTCCTTGATGACGGATGCGGAGCGTTTTGAGCGGAGTCTGCGGGAGCTGGAGGCATCACTGAGTGACCAGAAGGCGGAGATCGAGCGACTGCAGCAGGTGCACAACGAGGCGGTCGAGATGCGGGACGCGGCCAAGGTGATCCTGCAGCGTCAGGAGCAGCAGGCCAATCTCTCGCAGAAAACCAGGGAGCGGCAGGCTCTCGACTTCCGCAAACAGGTGGAGGCCCGAAAACTAGAGCTGGAGCGGATTGGGCGCAAGCTCTTTGCCGAAACCAAGACACTGGTCCACCAGGACAGTGTGGGATCCAGTTCGGGCGACCAGCACACGGCCAAGACGGAAAACGGCGAGGAGGAGCCGGTGTCCCAACTGGAGAGCGTGACCAGCGACATGGAATCCCTGTTCAAGCAGCTTATGGAGGCCTCCGGCGCCACCTCGCCGTTCGAGGTCTTTGAAAGATTCAGTGCCCAAAAGGAGTCCGCCGCCCGATTGAACTATTTACGGAAGGCAGCCGAGGCGGAAAAGGCCAATCTGGAGGCGGAACGCGAGGCTCTAAGCAGCGAACTGGAGGCCTCGAAATTCTCCGATGTCAAGGAGAGTGAAGTGTAAGTGCACTGTTAAAGAACCAGGGATCGTAACCGCTAAAATTTTTAAAATACAAATTCTCATATAATACAAGTAGTGAAATAGCTGTTATACTCTGATTCTTATAATTTATATGTAGACTAGATTTTAGCCGATGATTTTTTGTCAACCTCATAAAAGTTCCTGAACAAATCTTAGTAAATCCAATTTAAATATTTTTTTTTATATTTTATTGTTTTTTTTTTAGTTACTTAAAGTATGAAACTAAACGATTTTCTTTTAACGTTTGATTCTGATTTTTTTTTGGAATATATGCTATTATCTTAAAATTATATTATCATTGTTTTATACCATACCAAATTTAAATATTATTTTATACTTAATTTGAAATGTAAAATTTGTAATTCAAATATATATTTATTTTTACTACTCCTGAGTATATATCTCGAAGAATAGGCTCGACTGACTAAAATTGATTAACTTACTTTTAAAACCTTAAAGTGGAAGTTCAATATTTGCTTTTATATATGATTTATTTTATATATTTCACATTTCTTTCCAGAAACCAAGAGGTCATTGAACAAATCAAGAACAGCATTGCCGCCAAGGAGCAGGATCGCAAACTGGACACTGACGAGGCGGGCAAATCGATGGGGGTGTTGAAGTATCTCAAGGAACGCATCTGCGAGATGATCTTTAAGGTGCAGGAAGTGGACGAGAGCAACATCGAGATACCCGAAAGGAAGCTCCATGTGAGCGTAGCCGAACTGCCCAATTTTCTGACCCACACTGCCGAAGATGAGGATATGATTGAGGTGGGCAAAAAGGGTTCTTATGATGGACTAATATATGTACTGACACATCCATTCGCATTAGATACTCAAACTAAAGATTAAACGCTGCCAAGAGTTGAGCAAATCCGAGGATGTGCCACCGTTCGAGATACCCAAGTTGGACATAGTGGATGAGGAGGAGGAGGAGGAGATGTACAAGGCGGAGCCGCCCAAGTCCCCATCCGCTCCCGAGGGCGAGAAGCCACAGCCCATGCCCGTGTGCTACTATAATCTGTTCGCAGGGCGTGCCCAAAGAGCTGCGGGCACATCCTCATCCTCTCCAGAACAGGCTCCAGCGGCGGGTAAGTTTGATATGAGTCAACCTGTTAATGTACTTAAACCATCTCGAAAACATTTTGTGAACAGTGGCCACCACAGACGACGACAATGAAGTGCCATCCCGGAACTTCCTAAAGCGACAATCTGTACTTATTGTTGATTCAAAATCCCGTCGAAAGCCATTTAGACCTGCACCCGGAGCAAGACGAAAATAAATGTGTTCCGAAAATGTCATTTCATTATTGAAGTCAAATTTAATATATTTATATACTTTAAGATGCAGTCTAAAATATCAAATTTAAGCAAATGCAAGGGTACACAAATATTAGTTTCTGTGGTTTCCTTTCCTGTTTCTCAACTTTGACAAATTGTCTTCAGTCCATCATGTCATGGTGGAGCAACTTTGAAAACTTTCTAAACAAGAAGCCATTTTTAGTTTATTTCCAAACTTACTTTGACTTACATTCTAAAAATCTTCTTGGCAAAAAACAACGGTTGAAATTTGAAATATATATGCCGAGAGTGGTCACTAAATGAAATAAAGAAACATAATTCTTGCAAGCACTAGAGAAATGTTTAAAAATGAATGGAGTTTCAGGAAATCCCATTTGTCCATCCGTTCTTGTACTTTATGTGCGCTACAATTTCAAGGCTAGAATAAGCCAACAAAAACGCTGCGCAGTTACTTATTGCCTGGGGGCGATTTAATATCTGAGGCAGCATCAGCATCCTCTGCATATTCGTTCTGCTTACTGCAGTTTCTGGATAAATGTCAGCAGCTTCAGTCAAACGACATAACAAATAGCTGTCCTGGCGATGCATCTACTGCAAAGACAACGACATCGCAGTGGGTAAACAGAATTTACTGCCCCGAGGAGGACGACTTGGGCGAATGGATGCCTTGGTCTTGGACGACGAGGTTTAGCTGGGGGTTGGGTGGGCTGCCTTCAAATGAAGTGCAAAGCGGAACAAAGTGCGGAGCGCGGCTCTTGCAGACGAAATAACCTCTCAAAAATTGTTTACACCACTGGCTTACAGTGGAAGAAATTCTATTTTAAGCTATCAAAATGGCTTCCAAAATATAAAAAAAACTACATACGACTTTTCAGCACAAAAAATCATTTTATTTAATATACCTTTTGTTTTCGATGAAATTTTGTTAGCCAAAACAGAAAACTCGTTTCAACAAATGAAATTATTTAATTAAATATTTAATTAAATTAAATATTGTATTTTTATTTATTTTATTGGGGATTTGTGGAGATAGAAGAGTTCATAATTATCAAAGAAAAAGTTTTAAAGAATTTAGAAAATACAAACCGATAAAAATTTACTTTAATACATTACATATTAATTGATAATTGATATAAATGGTTTTTGTTAAACAAAATTTAATTTTTAGCTAAGCAGTTTAAGATAAATACTTTAAAGAAAGGTATAAGAGTGTTTTGAGGTTTGTGGTGAAGAATTTTGAATAAATTCGCCATTTTTCTGCCATGGTGTTGCGAAGGACATTCCGCAGAGCAGAATGGACGTTCTGGCTTTTCTAGTTAGCAACAACAAAGCGCACCAGCTGACGATGAACAATCAGGAGAAGGAGTGCCGCAGAGGCAGCTGCAAACTTCGGTGGCGATGTGTAAACAAAGACGCCGATGATCCATGGCCCGGGCCTGTTGCCGGAAGTCCAGGACGAGGACGAAAGGGACCAACCAGGGGCGGGAAGGATCCGTGTTGTGTGTGTCAACTAAATGTCAACAACGAGGACATAAACCACAGCAGACGCATACAAACAGCCTCGCAGTAAGATGGAAAAGCCCTCATTCGGCAACTCCGGCAGTTGCATGGAAGGTGGCCCAAGTCAACCAGTTGGAAAAACAAAAGCGTAGCCCGTCGCCTCCAGCAAAATCCGTTGAACGGAGCGAAGAATCTGCGGCTGTGGCAATGGCATTGGCCCTGACTGCATGCTTTGCATTAACCCGGCCAGAATCGAGACTAAACTTGGGGGGCTCGGCTTGGTGCGGCTTTCACTGCCACTGCTTGAAGAAAACGCTTGACACTGGAATGTCGCAGCCTGCGGTTGAAGCCAGTCCGCATTGAATTGCACTGGCTCACCCGACTGCTCTTTGTCCTCCTCTGTTTGCGGCGTAATTGTCCCCCTTGAATGAGTATAAATTATTTTTAAATGGGAAAAAGGCGCATGAATGCAAGGGTGAAACAAAGGAAATTCTTTGAAAATTGATTAAAAACTGGCAGCCTGGTGGAAAAAGATTGATATTTTAATGAGGTTTAAACATCCTTTGAAAAAGCAACGTTTATGGGATAAAATTAATCGCAGTTTGTCAGTGCACTGTACAGTTTATTATGAAGATGTGATCTCTGTTAAACATATTATATTAAACGCCACTTCCTATTAAAGCTCATGTAATATTTCTATATATGTTCTTAAAAATAATTGCTCTTTTAAAAATTAAAAAACAAAGTTTGAAATATATTTGTTATTGTCTTATATTCAAATAAATTTCTTGTTTTTTTTACATTTTGCTTAGCTGAAATACGCTAAGCTTAGCCGGCGATGGGAAACCTCCTTTGAAGAGGGGAACTCCTCTAGATTTAAGTTAAAAAGAATTAAGGAAATCTATGCGAGACATGCCTTTTAGTACCCCATCAAAACTTCACTCTTATTGAAATTAATTTCCGAGTTAAGCTGAGATAAATGTAAGTGCGGAGTTAGATGGAAGATAACATAAATTCAGTCATTACATTTGCCTGTCTCTTTCAGACGTAATTTCCTCTTTTTTGTCCATATTCAGCCGCAGAAAAAGTTTTCAACTTTCTTTTGGCATTTACCCGATGCTCTCCAGTAGGACACAAGGCCGAAAAGTCCTCTTCGGCAATTACTAAACTCTAATCCCCGGAGTGTGCCGTCGGGTAATCCCCGAACCACAATTGAGGGCGAAGACCTTAAAGGGAATTAGCTAATTAAAGGTAAGTGATGGCGGAACCAAAACGGCTTACTGTCTTGAGCAACCTACATCGTGTGTAATTGGATAGTCACGACTTTTATCCTGCCATTAATTCCCCCTGCCCCCATTTTCAGCCACAGCCACGCCTACTTTTAAGTCATTTAAGCGATTCAATCTCTTGCCGCTACCGTTAATCAAACGCCCATCGATTCGCAAGACAACGCCACTAATTTTAAGCCAATCGACTAAAGGTGGGCGTGGCCGGGACGCCATGAAAACCGCAAACAATAAATTTGAATTTCTGCTGCTGCCGCGAAAAACTTTTTAACAGTGACCGAACTACGGCGGAAAAACATCGATATTCGGGTAAGGGTATACAGAAAAAAATGTGAGCAGCCAAGAAGGGTCACCTTTTAAGTGTTTTAGGAATATAAATTTAAAGTTTATTTAATTCTTATGTTAGACTTAAAACACATGTTTTAAAACTCCTATACCATTTAAACAATTTGCAAACAAAACTTAAAATAAAAATGCATGATTTTAATTCAAACTTTAAATCTTTGGAGAATATAGGTATACGATTTATTAAGTTTATTAAATCTTTGTTTTTTAAATTATTATTAAGTTAATTAAATTTAAAGTTTCGAGTTCTGGGGATCTGCTTTAAGAAGGAAACCAAGAAAATGTGTATATATTTTAAGAAAAAATATACTTAAGTAAGTAATTTCTAAAAAGAATTCAAAAGAACTCTTTTAGTTTTTTTTTTTAAATCAAATTTCCATTCTGTGCTTGAACTCAGATTCTTAGATATTTTCTCTCTGTGTATCTGGGTGTGCGCTTGACAGTGTGGTTAATAAATGAGCGGATACGGAAACGGTTTGGGAGATGTAGAGCTTTCCGTCTCTCTCTCGCTCTGTGAATGTGTCCCTGTCGTTGGGTCGCCACTCTGGGAATGATAAATAACGTAATTTCTTTACAACTTTTCATTCAAATTTTCGCTACTTTTAACCGCACTCCGGGCGGGGATCCCAGCCTGTTGTTAAGTAAAATAAATTGCGATTCCGTGTAATAAAAGTCAATCATAATAATTCAATGACGCGACGTATTGTTGTGCCTCGTCATTGGACTGCCTGCAGCCATTGCCACCCAACACCCAGCCATTCAAGGGCGTTTACGGCGCCACCCACTCACCCACTTGCTTACCCACCCATTGGTTATTCATAAATACAGCCCTCTGAGGAATCTTTTGAATTTTTCGTTGATTCATTTGATTTTCTGGCAGACAGACTTCAACCAAAAGATGTCTCCTGCTGAAGTTGATTCTTCACTTTGGCTTGACTGGATGGAAAAGCCGAAGCAGCACTTGCCATAATTAGCAATTGTAAGTCAACTTATCAATCACTTGCCAACATTTTAAAAATACTATTGTTTAATAAAGAAAAAAAACAAGAAATATTTGCCTTCAGTGATTTTGCCTTAAACGTAAATTTTGATTGCTAAAATTTGTAATTAATTGGGTTCCATTACAAATTGTCTTTTTTCCTTTCTCCAAAAGTTTAAGCCTTAAGCAAAATTTGGGAGTAGTATGTCCAGAATGCCGACATAAAAAAAATGCTTTATGATATTACCTTTTTTTTGCCCCAAGCGGAATTAAATTGTGTATTGCAAAACATGCTATGCATAAATCTGTTTTCGTTTCAAGCTCATACTTTTTGGGGGAGAAGCCAACGATTAAAGAAGGTGGAAAAAGGGAGTGTTTCTTGGTGCAGAGAATTTCCATTTTTTTCACAGCCAACCATCACCAATTAATTACGGAGTTATCGATTTAAGTTAATGGAAAAGAGAAAATGTACGTGATAGATAGTTACCAGAAACCTTTTGATTTTTTTCTCAAGGTGAAAATAAATTTTTTTTATTCAAAATAGCACTCCCAAGTATCGGTTTTAGATTGATTGATAGAAATGATAAATGATAAAATGTTAAATATTTAAATCTAAAATAAAATAGTTGTATTCAAAACGAGTGATAGATCTTTAAAATGTTAAATATTTGAAACTACTCGACGCAAAACCCTGTTGCATATTTAAATCCAATTTATTATTTGTCATTCCACTAAGTTCACTGTTTTCCAGCATTTAATAGATGCATATTAGAGTAAAATCACATATACAAAATCCATAAATTTTTCATACTTTCTATCCTTCCATGTAGCACACCCTGTGATTGGGAAATTCGTTGGTGCATTGTTGGGAAATTTCGTTAAAGTAAGGAAAGTCTTCGGGGCACTTCTCCGATCTCTTCGAGCGCGAATCGTGACAGACCGTGTACTGCCGACAGCCCGTATTGATGGTGGTCACCATTAGCTGGTTCATATTGCCGCAGCGATCGTAGGAGCAGCTATTGTCCTTCGGCGAACCACAGCGCTGGCTCCACCACTCGAAGTGCTGTCCCCAGGGACAACTGCTCCACTGGCCCACGTCGTACTGGGAGGTGCAGGCGTAGTAGCCGTAGCAGGTCATCATGTCCGGAATGAGCTGCACTCCAGATAGATCCTCTTGGTAGTACTTGGAGCACATATGGGAATTCTTGGCGATTGGCGTCACCGGGGGAATCTCCTCATCATTGTAGCAGTGATCGGGTAGCCAGGGTTGGCAACTACCCGTTTTTCGGTTGAAGTATCTACCACCAGAGCAGTTTAAGTGGATGCCGAATCCATTGTGGCATTTATAATAACTACGACAGGTATTGATGTCTCCTACTAAGATGCCATCTTTCATATAAGAGCAGATATTGTCCTGCGGACAACCGGAGATCTCCTCCAGACATAGTTGCCGCTGGTTACTGAACACCTGACCCTCATCACAGTCGCTCCAAATGGGATTATTGATGTCCTCGCACTTGACAAATCTCCGACAATCAGCTGGATCGGCCACATAGTCGCCTGGCTGAAAGTTGGCACAAATCTCCGACAGCTGTGGATGACACATCGCCTCCGATGCCGTCTTGCAGGTTCCATCCCGGAAATTGTACAGCAATCCATCGCTGCAGCTGCGTCGAGCTGTAAGTTTGTTGTCCTGGCAAAAACCCCACGCATGGCAATCACTTGGGTCTCCAATGTAACCTTCTCCAGCCCAGAGTTTGCACTTCTCCTCCATCGAAAATCCTCGGATTTCGGCCAGGCAGGCCAAAAACATTACCACGAGGAAGGCGCATTGCTGAACTACGGTGAGCTATCTTTAGTCTCAGAGCATTTATCACTCCGATTTTGGTACCTCTCATTTTGGTCTGACCGCCAACTCTTCCGGAACTCAACGAACTGAACTGAATTTCCCAATCTATGGCAACATTTAAGTACGGAAAGCTATCTGCATTTTTGTGTCGCAGCTTGTTTGTAGATACCACAACAAGCTGATAAGAAATACGTATTTTAACAATGAAATTAGAAATGTTCTGGGTGAGTGACACGCGGATAAGACAGTATCGAAGACAGTATCGAGCGCCGCAAACAGTCTCTTTAAAGCAAATTGGGAAAAGCCACTTGAACTTTGATGAAGTCTGAAATAACTATTGGGTAGACTGCCACAAGGTAAACAATTAATTAGTTTAAATTGGTAGCTGACATCATTGCTACCCATTAATAACGATGAATAGATAATTATAAATAGTCACACAAAAATGCTCCAAACGCAAATTTTATTTTGACCTCCATTTTAAGTCTTCGTTTTAACTCAATTTTATTTTAAGCAAAGTCATCTGAAATATTGTCCCAAGATAACTGATTTTTGCTTTTAAAAGAAAAAATCTGTAGCATATTCTGCAACGCCTTGACAAAATTGCGAAATGCTACAAAAATGCAGCTATAGACTTGCAAGTCAATAAAGCATAAATGCAAAAAATATGTATACTGAAAACAATTTTGGAGTCTGGACCAATAGAAATGTTATCTTTGACTCGATTGATAGTTGAAACTTAAATATAGTTTCTGGTCGAAATCTAGGAATTAAATTATTTTTGTCAAAAACGTTTTTTTTTCTAGTTTATTTTATCTTTGAAAAACTGTCTACTTTTGTTGGGAAAGTGTAACCAGTTCCTGCTCTGTGTAATGGCAAAGCGAAAATTTCCTTATCCAAATACGTTTATCGGAAAATATGGGATGCATGCATATAGATAAGCTTGAATGTGTGTGAGTGTGATTGTGCTTCACCGTGTCCTTTGCATTGTTAGCGCAGTTCCTTCAGGAAATCGGGAATCGCGGGAAGAGGAAGGACTCGTAAGGACTCGGAAAAAGAGACGGTGCCTCAGTGGCTTGTCGCAATGTAAACTGCTTAGCATCGATTGGGTGCACTTATTGACATTTTGTGCTTAAGGACATGCTTAATATCCACAACGTGCAATCCCGGCAGCACCGCCACCGCGCCACTTAGGCTCGCATCCAGGTCCAATGTCGACACAGTGGGATAAATGAAACATAGAACTAAACTGATGTTTAAAGTGCCTATCTTATTGAAAAACTCATTTTAAGCTCACTCATTTTTATCAACAAAAAAATTATATAGTAGTGTACTTTTACAAGTTGGACCATTTCCAATACAAAAAAAAGGTTTTAAGTATAGAGCTAATTTAATATATATAAAATTAAGCGATAAAGTTAAAATACCACAATAAAAAGAAAAAGTTATATTGAATACACTAATATTTTTAAACTATTTGTTTATCTATAAATGTTACGTTAAGTCTTTAAAATGTTTGTAGGTTCTTTAAAATATAAAAATATATATTAAAAGGAATTTTTAATTGACTGAATTTCATGAAAACATAAAATGTTTCAATTTAAACAGTTGTAGAAGGAGTGCACTTAAAGTACAATAAATATTACCATTTAGACTTTCAAAAGGAATTGAAAATTCCACAGTAAAGTGAGTAAAGAAACCTGCTGGGCGTAGCAAAACGAAAAAGTTGCCATCAGCGGATGCTGTCTAGGGGCACAGACATATCTATGTGTACTCTTAAATGCAAATGGCTGGCACAGCGAGTCCTGTGCTCTGGCCCTTTGGCTCTTACCACTTCCGGAGCTCAAGGCCGCTGGTCCCAGTGGCGGCGCCGCCTGCTTCCGTTTCCCCCCCACCCCCCTTCCTTCTGCAGGACATTTATGCCGCTCATCAGCAGCGCTGTCGATGTGGAGACCATCTGGCGGGCAACTACTTGCCCGTAATTTTCTTTTCAATCAGTGGCTGGCTGCCTATCCCCGTGGGCAAGGGCACAACCCACTATTTCCTCCAACCGCCCACCCTGACAATGGCAAATTGTACGACTCAGATTTTTTTCAGGCACTTGATACGCTCAAGAAAGCGCACAGTGAGGCCCAGTTTCTTGTTTTCAGTTTAAGTAGTTTGGAAGCTGTACATATAAACTCAAGAAATTATCTTTAAAACTCTTTCATAACGAGGAATGTATTTAAAGCGAGCAAAATATTAAATGCATGTTAATTTGTATGTTAATGTTAATGTCTAAGCTGTTTAAACTGCATTTTCTGGAAATTGTCCAATTTGTAAAAGTAAACCATTATAATATTTAAAGGCCTTTTATCTGAAAATATAAGTATTTGTAGGATTCTCAAGAAGCTACATTTAGTTTGTCCTTAGCTCTTAAGTTTAAAATAAAATTTATAAATATTTAAACTATTTCGTAACTGCCAAATACCCCCGATTTAAAAACTAATTATTTTCTCTGTGTAAGTTTGTGTGTGATGCCTGTTTGGGATTTCTTTCTTCTGCCGAAAGTCCGCCTATCTGTCCATCTACTTTCCACCTCCCCTAATTTCCCTGCCTGAGTCCTGGGTTTTTGTGCGCCTTTTCCGGGCGTTCTTTGTAATTTTCCCCACATGTTCTCGGCTTGAATATTTTATGGGCTTAAGTACTTTCAGTTAGAGCCTTTGCCTGGCCTTGTGCGTTTGGCACCTTGCACCTCCTACCTCGTACATAAATTCATTAGGTTAGTTGGCTCTTCGCTCCTGGTCATTGTTTGCTGCTTGTCGGGCAAGGAGTTCCACTTGTTGAGAGTTGGCTCCATTAACATACCTGCAATGATAAAAAGCAGTTTAGAAGTCAGTATGGGTAACGGGATGGGTGTCCATTGTAATTTTATTTTTGTTTTCATGAGTGCATATATCGATTTTCTTTTACTTTCGCCTTTTCGTAACTGAGTTAATTTGATGCGAAGGCAATAACAATTTGATTAAAACCAAAAATGTTTACTAATAATACATTTTGATTAAATAGTAAAAATCCCAGAACAGAAGTATATATCCTCAAACGATAAAATATTAGAGTTGAGAGCTCTAAATATGCTTATTAAAACTGTAATTATATAACAGAAAATGCGACTGTTTTGCAATGGATAAAAAAACATTGGGGTGATGGATTTATGCAAATAAAATATATCAATTATTCGCCGGTCAAGAAAGTTTAAGAAATAAAAGAAAACCTTTTAGTATTATTCTTTAATGTTGATGTTTTCATGCTCCAAGCTGAGTTTCTAATCGCTGCACACATAAAACTTTTCAAATAGAATTTTTATTCTACCACAAACCTCAGAAAATGTTAAGGAACGTTAAACACTTTGTGATAGCGACTTTTGTGGCCAGCGAAACGTCTTCAGCTCAAGACGCCACTTGGAGAACAGGAAAAATGAGCTCCGGCAAAGTCAGCAGGTCAAGGATTAACACGCTCTCTCCACCTGTCTCACATAACTCATTTTAATTAGGTTAAATATGAAATGGAAAACTGAAAAGTGCCGAGCTAAGCAAGGCGAGGGAAAAAGGAAAAGGCCAGACCGTTCAGGCAAGACACAAGCCCCCGAGATTCCGGAAAAGTGGAAGGTGGTTGGCGTTCGGAAGCGGCAACCAGCTCAATGAGATGCAAAGGACGATAAACAAGTCTGCCAGCGTAAAGGATGCTCCGCTGGCGAAATAAGGTTACGGGTCCTCGACTCAAAGCGCCAAGGCTAAGACACGGAGCTCGGCGGAAAAAGGCCGAAGAAAACTGCTATATTTCTCCTTCTGACCAAAATGAAAACACCAAACAAACACGGAGGCAAGACCCGGACCCGCACAAGCTGAAACAAGAATTATGGAGGCCTCGCTTCGAGTAGAAGGAGGGCGCGAAAAGAGGTTTGGGGGGTGTGGCACGTACTTGGAGTATTTTGCCAAAATTAAAATTTATGAACAGATAAAAAAGCGTTAATGGCCACTCGCAAAGGTCACGACTGGACCGACATACACTGGGTCGGGGCGAGACAATAAAGCTATTTACAAATGCAGAGCTCATAGTAGCATAATATTATTCTAAAATATTTTTCGTTAATTAAACACAACTTCATGACCCTTACTTTTTACATAAGTTTCAAGCGATATGGATAGTACATTATTTGATTTTAAATCTAGTTGCAATACAATTTGTTCCAAATTGTCCTGTAACAAGTGATAGTTATGTTAACCAAATACAAAATTTAAAAGCAAAAAATAGTTTGAATAACAAATGGTTTGAATCTAAACTTTAGTTACAATACAAAATTAAGTTAATTTCCAAATATGAACATAAATATTAAGCATACAAGATAAGTCCCTAGCCGTTTAAAAAGAATTAGATATTACAGAATAGATAAAACAAAAATTGTAAGTCTTTTTTTTTATATTAATAAAACATATAGTTTTATATGTTATATATATATATTTTGAGGGTAAAATTTGTAGAAGGTAACCCACTGTGGCAGTGTGGTGTTAGTGTATAACAATTTCCACCGCGAGTGGCAAATGGAGCGGAGTGGACGCAGCAGGCGAAGTGGACGTGGCTGCGAGGAAACCACAGCGAGGCAACGACAGTGAACAGCTATAAACGCTGCAATTTTATTGCAAAGACTTACCAAATTCTAGGTGCCTCTTGCAAGGTCCAGATGGCCACCAAAGTGCTCCTCCTACCATTTGCTGGTGGGTAAGTGGGCAGACATTAGAAAGGGCGATATAGTATGTAGGTGTAGACACATTTGGCAGAAGCCACGTGTTGACTTAGTGTGGCGCCACCTGGGGAGAGGCTGAGGCAATTTGGCCATAAGTTAGCAGGGTCAAAGTGCATGGGTGGTCGCAGAATAAGACAATAGGATATATATAGTACTTAAGGCAATACTTTGCCTAATTCCTGTTATGCGCACGTATCTGCCATTGAAGTATTTTGGCCTGCCGCTGGCATGTTTTTAAGGGTGTCTTCAAATAGATTGCTTAAAGTTTGATAAAAGCAATACAAAGGATACGCTTCAAATAAATTGGCAATACTCTGACCTTAAGTCG